TGGGAATTAAGCAGAGGCACACCATATGATGCTAGTGGTCATTGTATTCTTCACTGATACAACTCTCAGTATATGTGTGTGCGTGTGAATGAGGGGGCATCAAAAACTTCATGGATAAATTCCATTATCTTTTAATTCTATTTTTCTATAAACTTTGTGAAGCCATCTCATATACACACACACATGAATTATATATAAAATCCACTGTAACTTAAGAATGGTCTTGACATAGAGAGAGAGAGCAGCTGATGACTTAGAGTCATGGAAAGAAAAAGGCTCTATGTTGGTGGCCAAGAGGCTGGCTTGCATAATGTGCCTTTTGGTTCTTTAAATGATGATATATTCCTGAGTGTTTATTTGTGTACATCCCAAAACAACAAAAAAACAAACAGAGGGAATAGATGCAAATGTTGGATGATGACGCATGGAGGGGATTGTAATCATTGCAATGAAATGAAATACGATAGGATGAGTTTAAAACCGATGTTCTTCCATGTAAATTATCACTCAATTCACAACAAAAAGTTAAAAAAGGAATGGTCTTGATGAGTCCATAAAACTTTTAAATTTTTATTAAACTTTGAATTCTGAGTACATATCTACTATTCTACGTGAAGATACAGAGACACATAATGCCCTTGTGTGTTGAAGTCGTCTTGAGGAAAAGTACTTGTGTGATTATTTGAACTGTGAGCCCAACTAAGCATTATTATTTTTATTTTTTATTTTTCACGGAACACCATTCTCACTTAAAAGGACTAAGAGACAAACTATGGTTTTTCAGACTTCTGTCTCTGGTAGATATTTTCTTTTCTTGGAAATAAAAGAAATGAGTCTGTCACTTGAAAAAAAATAACTGACAGTTATCTGTTGCCAATGATTTTAATGATACAAGAAATTTATCTGTTGCCATAAATTTTAATGGTGCAAGAAAAATTGGGGAATTTGTAGAACATGTATTCATTTTGTGAGCTTGGCAGTTTCCCAATACTTATATACTTTAAAAAAAAAGTGAGATTGGTAGTGATACTACTGAATATGATTGTAACATATCAAATAAGGAAATGTTACAACATTTGGACCAAATCCACTAACCCACTGCCACTGAGTCCATTCTGGCTCCCAGCCACTCTACAGGAAAGAGTTGAACTCCTACTCAGGGGTTCCAAGACTGTAAATATGGGAGCAGATTGCCTCATTTTTCTTCCAAGGAGCAGTTATTGGGTTTGAACCACTGACTTTGCAGTTAGCAGCCCAACATTTAAAACCCACTATATCACAAAGACTCTTTCACTATTTGGAGTATCTGAATAACTCAGTAAACTCATATTTTCCAAATTACCAAAATGTGAATCATGCATGGGCAAAAGAGCTCTTCAAAGTTCAAGACTAACCACTATAAAAGAAATACACATGTTCATGTAATACAGTATAAAAAGTTTGTAGATAAATTTTCAGATGCCACACGGCAATTAACCTTTAAAAGCTTCTACTTGCTGAATTTTCATGTAGTATCAAAAAAGAATATTAACAATTATCTGAAGTGATTGTAAAATACTCCTCCCTTTTCCTATATACCTGTTCAGTTCAATTTTCTTCAACTGATGAAACGTATACCAGGAGATTGAATGTAAAGACAGATATGAGAATTCACTCATTTTTTATTAAGTCAGACACTAAAGAGATTTTTTAAAATGTTATAAAGCAATATCACTCTTCTGAGTAATTTTTTTATTTTGGAATATATAGTCATTTCCCATAAAATAGGTTATTTATGTTAACATGTAATGGGTTATTTATGGAGTCCTGATGTGGTGCTGCAGAATAATGCACTGGACTGCAAGATCAGTGTGAACAAGGTCAGTGGTTGAAACCTCTCCTCAGAAACCCTACACAGGGTTGCTATGAGTCGGAACTGATTCAACGGCAATTAACAACAACGAGTTCTTTAATTTTTTCATGAAAAAAACAACAACCAACAAACAAAAATCAGACTGAAAATAAAAAGCAGCAATTTCTTTTTTTTCCCCCTTCCTACTTGTAATGGGATATTATTATACATTTCAATAAAAAAATGCTTAAGTTATGTTTTTATAGTACAATAAACACTGATTGATATGACCCATCTAAGCAAAAATTCTTTGGGGTCTTCAAGAATTTTTAAAAGTATAAAGGATTCCTGAGACCAAGACATTTGAGAACTGATATTCCAGAAAAACATGCTTTTGTGTATACTAGGATATAGGTGTAGGAATGTTTACTGCAATAATATTTATAATTCCAAAAGCAGAGAACAATTAAAGTATCTAGTGCTGTAGTTGTCAGGGGCCATTGAGTCAGTTCTGACTCATAGAGACCCTTTGTACAACAGAACAAACACTGTCTGGTTTTGTGTCTTCCTCATGATTGTTATGCTTGAATCCATTGTTGCTGCCAATGTGCCAATCCATCTTGTTGGGGGTCTTCCTCTTTTTCACTGACCCTCCACTTTACCAAGCATGATGTTCTTCTCCAGGGACTGGTCTCTCCTGAAACCATGCCTGATGTATAAGAGATTAAGTTTGACATTCTGGTGGTACTTCTTTCAACACAGATTTGTTTGATATTCTGCCACTCCACAGTACTTTCAATATTCTTCTTCAAAACCATAACTCAAATAAACCAGTTCTTCTACAGTCTTCCTTATTCACTGTCCAACTTTAGCATGCATATGAGGTTATTGAAAATACCATCGATTGGGTCAGGCGCACCTTAGTCCTCAAACTGACATCTTTGCTCTTGAACACTTTAAAGAGGTTTTGTGCAGCAGATCTGTCTAATGCAAATGTCTAGTAGAATGGATAAATAAATGTTACATGCAATCTTGATATATTTAACAACAACAACAACAAAACCCACAATACATGAGAATGGCAAAAAATCCTAGAATTTCTTCTTAGACATAGCAAAGTCTCCCTCCCATCTCTGATGCTTGACATCCAGTCCTGGCATCAAACAGTATTCCTAAAGATGGTTTATGCAACTCTACAACCACACACGTACCTTACTTTTTTGTTACTGTTACACAAATGGACACAAACTCTGTCACTGTCCATTCTACTTTTTTCTCTCAGCAATGGCTTTTGGTGATTGTTCCATATTTATTCCTTTTAAGTAGCGTTGGTTGTTATTAAGAGGTTTCCAAGGCATGGCTGGTGGATTCGAACCAGGGGCCTTGCAGTTCAAACCGACCTTGTGGTTCAGTGCTTATCCTACAGTGCCACACTGTTGTCGCTGTTGTTAAGTGCCATTGAGTTGGTTCCAACCCATAGCGACCCTGTATAGGGTTTCCAAAGAGTGGCTGGTGAGCTTGAACCACTGACTTTGCAGTTCAAACCAACATTGCAGTCCAGAGCATTAACCCACAGTGCTACACCAGGACTCTACAGTGCCATAATTGTTCTTGTTTGTTGTTAAGTGAGGAGAAGCTGGTGGGTTTGAGCATCTGGTGGGTTTGAACTGCTGAACCACCTATCTTTTGGTTCACAGTCCAAAGCTTATCCTACAGCACCACACCATAGCAGTTCATTAATAGGTGTATTATAATTTTTAATCCAGTCCTCATGATGGATAAGGTAGTTTGAGCCCAGTCTTTGGAAATAGTAAATTCTGTGTAGCCAGAATATCTTTGTACATACATCTTTGTGTAGATCTATAGGATAAATTATTAGATGTGGAAAATTGTGGTCAAGGATGTATGTTTATTCATGTCATTGCCAAAACAACCAGAGAAAGTAGCTGTGCCCATTTTACAACCTCCTTTCCGCAATCAGTGTAGGAGAATGCTTGTTTCTTTATCTACTGACATTCACAGTGTATCATCCAACTAGTTCATCTTTGCATATCTGAGAGTTGAAGATGCTACCCAATTTAATTTGGACCACTTTATTTTTAGGTGTGAGGGTTTTATTGTTGTTGTGAAGTGCCATCGAGTCGGTTCCGACCCATAACGACCCTGTATAGGGTTTCCAAGCAGTCGCTGATGAGCTTCAACCGCCAATTTTGAGATTCAAATTGACTTTGCAGTGCAGTGCATTAACCCACAGTGCCAAACCAGGACTTCAGGCATGAGGGTAGAAGAAGATACTATTTTTACAGTTCTGGTTTGAAGTTAATCGACTTTTTTAAACCCCAGGTATCCTGCTGGTTGGGCTCTGAGAGGAGGGTGAGAGGTTAAAATCCGGGTGTGTGGGATGATGTCTTTAGGGTGCCCCACGAAAACCGCCCACTCCTTGTCAGGGAAGAGGGCGCGGTTGATTATCTTTCCCGGGCCTCGCGCATCAGCCTGCACTTCCCCAAGTGGCCGCTGGAGGGTACCGACACCCACAGAAACGCTTTGGGAGGGGACTTTGGGTTCTGGAGCGCTCTGGCTTGCCATTTACCTTTATCCCTACCAAAACAAAGGCCTGAAGACCTGATGTTCCTCCCTCCATGACATTCTCACTGGGTGGATGACTGCATTGGGCACTTCCTGCTCCCCCAGCCTATCCTAGAACTCAGTGCTGTCCTGGTCAAATGCGCTTTGTTGTTGTTCCGTGCCATCGAGTCAGTTTCGACTCTTAGCAACCCAGTATTGGGTTTATGAGGTTATTATGTGCTGTGGAGTTCATTCCGACTCATAGCGACCCTGTACAGGGTTTCTGAGGCTGTAAATCTTTACGGGAGCAGAAAGCCTCATCGTTCTCTCGCTGAACAGCTGGTAGTTTCGAACTGTTGACCCTCAGGTTAGCAGCCCGATTCGTAACCACTAAGCTACCAGAGCTCCTTATAAGGTTTATGAGGAGTGGTTGGTGACATTGAAGCTCCGATCTTGTTCAAACCGACCTTGTGGTTGAGTGCTTCTCCTAGAGCGCCACACCAGGACTCCAGATGCACTGACGCCTCTCCAAAACTCACCGAGCAGATGCTCTTTGGATCCTACCCATAGAGAAGGGGATGGGGGTTGCTGCTGAGACACCTACCTGTGTGCTGGCCAGAGGGTCCTTGTTCACAAAAGCCTGGACAAACTCCTCAGGCCCTATGTGTCGTAATCGTTCCTGCAGGGGGTCGGAGAAGCAGAAGGTGTACTGGGGCCTACCATGGTATGCCTGCTCAACTCCATGGGGGAGGGAGGGTTTAGTCCTCCCCATGGGGCCTTTGGATTCCTGCCCTTTATTCTGGGCCTCAGGGTAAGGGTTCTGGGTTGTACATAGCTCCTCTCCCTGAATGGGGCAAGGAGTACAGAGCTACCCCAACAGTTTTGGCTCTGGGATTGAAATGAGGATGGCCAGGTCTGCTTACCAGCTCCACATGGGTCAGTTGCTGGGCCAGCATGTAGGGGTCACTGCAGACACCAAGGAGTTCCCGGTGGATGGAGGCTGGTGGCTTGGTCCTGTAGGAGATGGGCTTATCGGCGCCCACCAGGCCTTCTGGGCGCTGGCCCAGAGCTGCCAGCTTCTGGTGTAGGGCCTGCAGAAGCTGGTGCATCTTCTTTCTGTAGGCCTGGAGGCAGGAGATGGGGAGTACAGGAGTGGAATAAGATTACTCAGGCCTGAACACTCATCTCTATGTTTCCTAGGGTCTCTGGACCAGCAGGTGTCAGATACCAGCAGGTGTGCCGGAGTCCTGGTGTGGTGCTGTAGGATGATACACTGAACCCCAAGGTTGGTTTGAACCACAAGGTGAGTGGTTCAAACTCACCAACTTCTCTTCAGAAACTCTGTACAGGGTCTCTATGAATCGCAACGGACTCAACAGCACTTAACAACAACAAGTAGTTACGCCAGGGCCTATCCATCTCCAGATAGGATCCAATCTCAGGCAGGTTAAACTTGGGGCCCAAATTCAAGGCCAGTTAGGGGAAGGCTACAGTATTATGGTGGGAGCTGAGAAGAACAAACATCATGAGACCACCCACCAGAGCTCTCAGGAGAGTGGGCAACACAGTGGGTAGGGGAGGGACAGAAGGGGGAGACAAGGAAGGGGCCAGTCCTGGGCCAGCTGGACTTTTGCTCAACTCAAAGGCCTTCCCATCCACAGCCTACGGCCTGTCCTCTGCCCCACGTCACTGTGTGTGATTGCGGACCATTGTTGGAGATAACTGGGTGTGTTCCTTTGTTTATTTCTCCACAGGAAAGAAAACTCTGCAGGGGCAGGGAACTTTGTGCTGCTCCTCTGTGTTCTCAGAGTGAGCCCAGCTCTGGCACATGGTGGGAGCTTGTGACCACTCACCTCACCATTCAGCATGGAGCACAGATTCCTGTCTTGGACCAAGTCCTGGGCTGGACACACAGGGATAAAAAGCCCTCAACGGTTGCCCATCCTTCCCCTTCTAAGGAGAAACAGCTTATTTACTCTTATAAAATCTGCTGGACTTACTAGATGAGATGTCTACACGCCCCCAAGGGTTTTCTGGTCAAGAACCATAGAGCAGGCTCCTGATCTCTGTGTAAAACGGCTCCACCAGAGGGAGACTCAATTCCATTTGAACCAAGAAGCTAGCTTGGCACTGGCAGAGGCAGGAATGGTGGCTTGGAGCCAACCTGGACTCCCAGCAGTGATGACAAGCCCGGTGAACAGCCCTCAGAAAGCTAAGGAAATAACAGCGCGTGGCTAGTCGCTATCAGATAACAAAGTGTGCTTTCCTTTATGCTACGTTGAACCACACAAACCCAACAAGCAGCATTTTAGCGGGGACAGTTGGGGTATCTGGTCAGCTGGGCAGTGTGTAGTTCCTTGACTCTTTCTTAGAGTCTCTGATGGGGCTAAAGGAGGGTGACTGATACCCAGGGGGGTTGTTAGTGCCCAGTACTCTGGAAGGGGCAGAGTCGCTAGGACACAGAACAGGACAGGAAGTTGTTAGTGGACAGTCCTTGCATGCAGCCAAGAGAAAAGATTCCCACTGATTAGCTGGGGTAGAGAGGCCCCTCTCTCTGTTCTGTCACCCACAGAAGTAATGAGCCTTTTCTGCTCTGTGCAACCAAAAGTGTGGTCAGAATTCCAAGTTTCATCTGATGGCAGGAAGATGGTGAGTAATCTGGATGACATGGTCAGCTATCTGTGATCCCTGGAACCTCTACCTGCATTGTAGTTGCTCTCCCTCACAGTCAACCACCACATGAGCGGGCCACCTTTCTTCACGTCCCACTCACCCCTCAGCCACCTCCATTTTACTAAGGAGGACACTGAAGCTCAGAGAGGTGAAGTGCCTTGATCAAGGTCACAGAGATGTGGTTCTAATACTTGACCTGTGCTCAGGTGGTTTGAGCCTCATTTGTCTGTCATTCAATGATCCCCAGCTCTATGTCTTGTGCTTGCTCATGCCCAGGGCTGAAGGAGGAGCAACATGATCAGTTCACCTGCCAGAAACCAGGGCAGGAAGACATGTACTCAGAGGATGTCCTCTTTGGAGCAGCTGCTTTTTGTGGACAGGCAACTTGGGGATAATGAAGACACATGAGATCACTCCTGACCGGAACTGGACATGGTAGGTAGAGTGGGTTCCAGGGAACCCTGTTCCATCCCAGCTCCCATAGATAGCATCCCTAGTTGGCTCACAAGGGAAAGAATAGGAAATGTCTTGAGTGATTCATTTCTGCTCTGAAAACCCATGCCTGGTGGGTAATTGCTCTCCTGTTTTTTTCATTCACTGGGTGGTAAGATATATTTCCCAGCACAGCCTGAGAGATTCTCAGGGGTTCTGTGAAGAGGCACTGGTTTCTTGGAGGGAAGCTAGCTCAAGACTTACACACTATCCTCCTCTAATGTGGCCAGAACAACAGTGTTTGCCTCTGAATGTCAGAGGCATGTCAGGGAAGGGTAAACCACCCATCCATCCACCCACCTACCTACTTGCACACTCATCCACCAACCCACACAATCACCAATCCACCCAACTATCTACCTATCCACCTGCACCCATCCATTCACCTACCCACCCACCTACCAATCTATCTACGCACCCATCCCACCCATCCACTACATCCATGTTCCCTCCCACCTACCCACCCATCTATCTACCAATACATCTATCCATCTACCAACTCATCTACCTACCCACCCATCTATTCATCTACCCATCCATCCTCTCTCTCACCCACCCACACACCCATCTCTCTACTCACCCACCTACTCATCCTTCTACTCACCCACCTATCTATCCAGCATTCCTATCTTTATCCCTCCAATTTTTCTGTCAGTCATTCAATGTCCACTTACTCATATATCCACCTGCCTATTCAATTACTCAAACATCTATCCTCCCCTATCAAAGTAGTCAACTATCTACCTAGACAGAATTTCCCCACACTTCTACCAACTCTCATCCATTCAATAAACAAGCCTTCCATGCTGGATGCTTAGTAAGTATCAGATCTGAATATGAATCAAGGCATGCAGAGGAGGAGAAGGAGAACCTGACCTTCATCTCAGTGGGTCCTCAGAGCAGCTCAGTCACTTGCCTGTCTATATGAAATGACCCCAAGACAGGGTCACCCTCTCTGAGTCTTACTTTATGCCTTGGGCTTTATTGCTCCCTATTGCCCAGCCTGCCTTTGCAGCTTTCCTTTTGTTTCTCATACTGCTGGCTCTGTCAAGTGCAGATTTACTTTTGAGTACATCACTAGCTACCAACTTGCCACATTCAGTTTCCTCCTAGGGAAATAACAAGCACCCCCTAATGTTCTCTCTCCCAGATAAAGCAACATCAGTCTGGCTACAGTCATTCTGGAGATGCTGATAAGCTTGCTCTTCAAGCAGACCAGGATCCCTCTATCCTTTTCCTGGAGGTCTTCCTTGTCTTATTGTCATCCTGGGATACAGGATTGTTCTTGTCCTTTCTACACTAAGGGCAGTAAGACTCTGAAGCCTCAGGTGTTTCCCAAGAGTGACATGGTGGGGAGAGCAGAGCAGGGCATGGGGTTCAGGGACATCTCACTTCTCAGTATATCCTCTGCCTCCCAAGCCACAGGAGCCAGGAGTCACTTTTACCCTGTGGTGTAACTTTTAGTTGTAGGGGGGTCCTCTCTGCTTGTCAACCCCACCATGCAGGGTTTACACAAGCTCAGACTATGGAGGCAGAGACAGACCCTCTCAGGAGAACCTGCACATATGTGGCGTTAGTCACTATAGATCCTCCTGCAGAGCCCTTTTCCTACCCTTGACTGACAGTTTGCCTCCTTGTCCAAGAGCACTGACTGCAAGCCCAGCCCTGGGAAAGGTAGAGGCAGGAGGAGGAGTGAGGACTCTGTAGCATAGGGCTGCAGGACGTGAGCCCTATGAGCCTCTCTCCTAGTGGATAGACCATTGGCCCTGGCTGTGTGACCAAGAAGCCCTCACATGGGTCTTGCCTTGACCACCATCTGATGCCAACGATGACAGAATGCCAGGAGAGAGACCAAGAGAGCAGGTTGTAACCATGCGTGTGGTCTCAGCTCTCTAACTCATCAGGCATGTGGCCTGGGTCAAGTGACTCAGAAAGGGGCTGGATCTAAAGGGACTGCAGTGTGCATTGTGGGAAGATGATCCTGAGAAGAGGCCTGAACAGGCTCAGCCCCTGGTAGTGTTGGTGCAGAGAGAGTGAACCACCCCGCTCTGGCCACATACCTCGTCACAGGGTGCGATGCGGCCCACCACGTCCTTCATATGTCCAATGGCTGCTTCTTCCTGAAAGTCTCGCGGGAAGGTCTCTGTCCATTCGGCCAACAACTGAAGCAGTTTGGGACCAAACTTCCGGACCCGGGCCTGCAAAGCAAGCCAAAGTGTGGTAGCACTCGGTGAGTGGAAGGCGCTCAGGAGGAGGACCACGTCAACCACTATAGAGACCTGGGTCTGAGCTGATTCCTGCATGGTGGAGGTGGCTGTGGCTGAGGAGTGGGGGCATTGGGAGCAGGGGCAGGGCAGATACACATTTTGGGGGCAGGACTCCTCTTGTTTCTGCTCTCCAGCATCCCTTTCTGTGATGACAGTATCTCAATTTTTGGAATGGCTAGATGGGAGACCTCCTTCCTTTCCAGCTTGTGAGGTTCTGGAGCCGCTTGCCTCACCCTAGGACTCCAAAAGTGGGCCCAGGATCAGGGCTGGCCCGTTAGAACACTGAGTACCCCCAATGTGCACAGTGGTTGGTTCACAGATAGGCATGGGACCTAAGCAAGGTGAATGACCTACTGAGGAGGCTGCTTGCACTTTTAATGGGTGGGGTTGAGAAGGGGTAGCAGGCCAGCCAGGAGATGTGGATGCCAGGTTGTCACCACGTAGGGAGAACCTGCCTCAGAATTAGGTCAGCCCAGGGGGAAATGTAGCAGAGAGTCAGGAGGGAGGAAGAGTAAGTTTTAATGATTTGAGCCCCTGGGCCAAAGTTACAGGAGCCAATCAGGTCCCTTTGTTTTAGGCAGTTGAAGTTGGACTTCCATCATTGTAAGTAGAGCTCAGCTGATTCTTGCTTAGAGTCACAGCTCAGTGGGATCTGGGCAGGGACAGAGGACTGGACAGAGGACTGGATGCTGGGAAGGCTAGGCTATCAGCAGAGGAGGGAAAGGTGGCAGGGGTGTGCTGGGGGACGGGAACCCAGCTAGGGTTACAGGGCCACCTCAGGTCTGGCTTAGTGTGAGACTCCTATAGGAAATTAGAAAACAGCACCCCAGTTAAAGGGGCTGGGTCTGTCCCTTAGAGTCTGGGACTCAGAAGTGTCAGAAACCTCTTCTGGTCTCAGGTGCCTTGCTGGGGGAATAGGGACAATCAGTGCCTCCCTAAAAGGTTGATACTATGTGAAAGAAGTGCTGGTCCAAGCTGGGTACACTTAGAGCCCCTGCCAGGCCCTGCCCCTCACCTTGTCCAACACCGGCTTGTCCAGCTGCTGCTGCTCAATGCACAGGTGGCAGACCCGGGCCAGGAGCTCCCGGGGCTCGATGAAGAGGCGGGAGCTCAGCAGGAAGGTGAAGATGTAGGCTTTCTGGGGGAAACATGTGGAAAATGTGACCAATACTCATGAAGGCAGTGTGTGTGGACATGACTCCCAGCCTGCCCTCCTGGTCTCCCAGGCCCAAAGCCAACCCTGGCCCTTTTCTCTCCCCCATGCCTGGTAGAGGGGAGCCTACCCTGCTACTCTTCCTCGCCACTAGGTAGCTCACCCACCTCGGGGTAATAGTCAGCTGTGGGCACCAGGTGCTGGATCAGGGTGTCCAGAGAGGCTGAGGATGGAGCTCCGTCCAGGAGGGCCTGCCCGGCCTGCTCGTCATCTGCAGTCTTGGTGGGGGGCAGTCCAAGGCTGCCTGGGGTGACCATATCGGAGGCACTCAGTGTCCGGGGCATGCCTGCCTGCAATGGCAAGGGGCAGGTAAGGTAGGCTGAGCCTGGGCCTACTGGTCCTTGGGGTTCCTGGCTGGGCAGGCCCTGCCTCCTACAAGCACTGGTGTCCACCTGACCCTAGTAATCCCTTTTAGGAAAGTCTGCAACGACCTCCAACACACAGCACAGCATCCATTGTCCTTTCTCTCACAGTTCCTGAAATCTCCCCCAGAACTACCTCACCTACACTCTTAGTCTCAGCCATTTAGTTTGTTTTTGACAAGGCCAGGATTACTAGCATATTCTGTGAATCCTGGCCACAGAGATCTATTCAAGGATGGTACTGGTCCAAACTGGGAGGCTCAAGCTCAATTAAGAACTTCCTTTCCACTAGATCTCTGAGATGGTGGAACATAAGCTCAACACTGTTGGGACCATTTTGGACAGTGGGCCCATTTCCAATGACATTGTCTGAGGCCCTGGGCCCTGCTATGCTTAAGTTGGTCCTTGGCCTTCTCTATGGCAGCACACGCCTGTTTAAATGAGCTTATTCACAAGTGTAATGAAAGTGGCTACTCTTGTGAGTTTGATGAGTATATGGATAGATATTCTGAAAACAAAAAACAAGGCTGACCTCTGTAACCTGGTATTTAAGGCTTTATGATTAGGACTTGCTGACCTGTCCAGTATCAACTCCTGTCACTCTTTATCATCTACTCTTGGCATGTGTTGTAATTGTTGGCTGTCGTTGAGTTAACTCCAACCCATGGTGAACTCATGTACAACGGAATGAAACGTTACCAGTCCTGTGCCATCTTCACGATGTTTGAATCTATTGTTGCGGCGACTGTGCATTTTGAGTGCCTTCCAACTAATAACAAGGAGCTCTAGTGGCAGGACAAGCACTAGACAGCTAACTACGAGGGCGATGGTTCAAACCTACCAACCATTGCTCGGGAGAAAGATAAGACTTTCTGCTCATATAAAGATTTATAGCCTCGGTAACCTTGGTTGCTGGAAGTTGGAATTGACTCAGTGGCAGAGTTTTATTTTTTCTTTTTTTTTTTGGTGGTGGTGGTGGGGGGAGGGTGTTCCAACTTGTCATTAAGAGTCAGTTCTAACTCATAGTGACCTGTATAGGATTTCGGAGGAGTGGCTGATGGGTTCAAACCACCGACATTACAGTTCAAAGCGACTTTCAGTCCAGTGCTTATCCTACAGCACCAAACCAACTAAGGGGGCTTATCTCTCAGCACTATATCAGACAGTGTTTTATTGTGATTCACATGGTTTCCATTGGCTAATTTTGGGAAATAGAGTGCAGACTTTCTTTTCTAGTCTGTCTTAGTCTGGAAGCTCTGCTGAAACTTGGTCACCAGGGGTCCTGCTGGTATCTGAAACATGGGTGGAATTGATTCCAGATACAAAGCAACACATGAGCCACCAGAGTACAACAAAATGATCAGTCACATGTTCTTCCCTGAACACACTTCACCTCTGAGCCACCACATATGTGTTCTCTCTTTAGTCTTCTGCCCCTCAGGACATGGCTGAGATGTCTCCTCCTCTGTGGAGCCTTTCCCACTTCACTACACTACTCGGTCTCTACCTGGTCCTTCCAGGGCCACACCTTAATTTTGAAGTGCATCAGCACCTTCTTGTCAGCACTGCTGGATTCTGGGATGTTGCTGTCTCATGCTTGGCACAGAGAAAGGTCCTAGTAAATGCCAACTACAGCTGTTGTCATGGTGTCTGCTGAATCCAGATCTTCTTGTGGACAGAGCCAGAACTCATCCTGTGTGATTCCAGTTTTGAATCGCGGGCCTGGCCATCCATAAGTGTGTGTGCAGGGGCCTATGGTTCTGAAGGCGTTTCCATCCATCTCTGTAAGCCAATCTTTTCTGAGTGAAGCTTGCTGGGACTTTCATGGTGATGTGCCCTGGCCCACGCCTGTGACTTATTTAACCAGGCCCCATGCTAGAATTTAGGCTGCTACCCACATTTCTGTCCTTCTTTTAATTAAAAAAAAAAAAATTATTGTCACATATATATAAAATAAAATCTGCCGTTTTAACTATTTTTAAGTGTAAGATTCAGTGACATTAATACATTCATACTGTTGTACAAAGATCACTGCTATCCATTTCTAAAACCTTTTTATGGCCCCAAACAGAAACTCTGTACCCACTGAGCAATAACGCTTCATCCCACCTCTTCAGCCCCTGGTAACCTCTAATCTTTCTGTCTCTATGCGTTGACCATACAAGTGGTGTCATGAATATTTGTCCATTTGTGCCTGACATTCCACTCAGCATAATGTTCTCAAGGCTCATCATGTTGTAGCAGGTATCAGAACTTTGTTTATTTGGACATTTGGGTTGTTTTGTCTTTTTCTTGATTGTGTGTAATACTGTAATAAACATTGGTAGGCAGGCATCTGTTGAAGCCCCTGCTTTAAAATTTTGTGGGTATATAAACTCTTCCTACATTCTTAACCATCAGTTGATTACACAGGTACATCTTTTCCCATCTTTTAGACTGACTCATGCTCCTCAGGTGGTCCCATGGAGCAGTTGTGTAAACCTAGGCACCCACTTCCTGGAACCTTCATGTTGTTGCTGTTATGTGCCGTGGAGTCAGTTCCAACTCATAGCGACCCTGTAACAGGGTTTCTGAGGCTGTAAATCTTTACAGGAGCAGAAAGCCTCATCTTTCTCCCACAGAACAGCTGGTAGTTTCAAACTAATGACCTTGCAGTTCACAACCCGATTCATCTCCACTGTGCTACCAGGGCTCCTACATGTATCATATTGGGTAATAACTCTCTTCACAGTTTGTTCTGTGGATTCTGTCCCCGTGAAACATGCTGCTAGACACACTGTTGTTGTTGTTGTTAAGTGCTGTCGAGTCGGTTCCGACCCATAGCAACCCTGTACAAGGTTTCTGAGGGTGTAAATCTTTACAGGAGTAGGTCCTTAATAAAAATTAATACTCATCCCTTGTTGTTGTTGTTAGGTGCCGTTGAGTCCATACCAACTTACAGCGACACCATGCACAACAGAACGAAGCACTACTCAGTCCTGCACTATCCTCACAATTGCAGCCCATTGCTGCTGGCACTGTGCCAATCCACCTTGTTGGGGTCTTCCTCTTTTTCATTGATCCTCCATTTTACCAAGCATGATGTCCTTCTCCAGGGACTGGTCACTCTTGGTAGCATGTCCATAGAATGAGAGACGAAGTCTTGCCATCCTGGCTTCTAAGGAGCATTCTAGCTATACTTCTTCCAACATAGACTTGTTTGTTCTTCTGGAAGTCCACGGTATTTTCAATATTCTTATCCAACACCATAGCTCAAATGCATCAATTCTTCAGTGATTTTCTTTATCCATTGTCCAACTTTCAAATGACTATGAGGCTCTTGCAAATACCATGGCTTAGGTCAGGCACTTAAGTCCCCAAATTGATATCTTTGCTCAGGAACACTTTAAAAGAAGTATTGTGCAGCAGATTTGCCTAATGCAATATGTCATTTGATTTCTTAACTGATGTTTCCATGAGTATTGATTGTGGAGCCAAGCAAAATGAAGTATTTGACAACTTTAATCTTTTCTCCATTTATCATGATGTTATTTATTGGTCCAACCGTAAGTATTTTTGTTTTCTATACAAAGAGGTGCAATCCATACCGAAGGCTATGGTCTTTGATCTTCATCAGTAAGTACTTTAAGTCCTCTTCGCTTCCAGTAAGCAAAGTTTTATCATCTGCATATTTCAGGCTGTTAATGAGTTTTCCTCCAATCCTGATGCCATGTTCTTCTTCACATAATCTGGTTTCTCAGATTATTTGCTTACCATATAGACTGAATAAATATGATGAACGGATACGACCCTGGCACACAACTTTTTTTATTTTAAACCATTTAGTATCCCCTTGTTCTGTTTGAATGACTCTCTCTTGGTCTATATACAGGTTCCTCATGAGTAAAATTAAGTGTTCTGGGATAAGCATTCTTGGTAAAGTTATACATAGCTTGTTACGATCCACACAGTCAAAAGCCTTTACATAGTCAGTAAATCACAAGTAAACATCATTCTGGTATTCTCTGCTTTTAGCCAAGATCAATCTGATGCCAGCAATGATATCCCTAGTTCCATGTCCTCTTCTGAATCTAGCTTCAATTTCTGGTAGTTATGTGTTGTAACCATTTTTGAATTATCTTCAGCAAATTTTTACTTGCATGTGATGTTAATGATATTATTCGATGATTTCTGCATTCTGTTGGGTCACCTATCTTTGAAACAGGCACAAATACAGATTTCTTCCAATCAGTAGGCCAGGTAGCTACCCTTTAAATTTCTTGGTATAGATGAGTGAGTGCCTCCAGTGCTGCATCAGTTTGTCGAAATATTTCTATTTGTATTCCATCAATTTCTGGAGCCTTATTTTTTGCCACTTCATTCAGTACAATTTGGACTTCTTCCTTCAGTACCATAGGTTCTTGATCATATTCTACCTCTTGAAATGGCTGAATATCGACCATTTGTTTTTGGTACAGTGACTGTATATTCCTTCCATCTTCTTTTAATGCTTTCTACATCATTCAATGCTTGCCCATATTGTTGCTGTTGTTGTTGGTGTCACTGAGCCATTTCTGATTAATAGTGAGTCATTATAGGGCTTTCCAGGAGTAGCTGGGGGATTTGAACCCCAAACCTAGCAGTCACAGGTCTAGTGCTTATCCTACAGTGCCACACTAGGACTCCTTCAATATTTCAAGTCAAGGCTTGAATTTTCAGCTCAGTTCTTTCAGTTTGAGAAATGCTAAGGGTGTTCTTCTCTTTTGTTTTTCTAACTCCAGGTCTTTGTACATTTTATTAAAATACTTGACTTTGTTTTCTCGAGCTGCCCTTTGAAATTTGCTGTTCAACTCTTTGACTTCCTCATTTGTTCCATTCGCTTTCGTATCTCTATGCTGGAGAACAAATTTCAGAGTCTCTTCTGACATCCATTTTGGCCTTTT